TAAATATTTTGTGACATCAGGAGACACCTGAGGATTTGGGGTTGTGACAGTCAAAAGGTTAACTCTTTGAGGGCCCACAGGTCCTCTCAGAGACTCGTTCTCAGGGTCTTCCAAATTTAAAAAAAAAATAATTTTTCTTATGAAAAAATAGTTTTTTTTTTTTAATATTATAGGCTATACAAAAAATTTTTACCATCAGTACTTACCGAGATATGGAGACGTGAAGTTGATGAAAAAGGGGGACAATGTGGCAATATCGCCGACTGTTGTCTCCCTGTATTCTTTTATTTACTTTCTTATGTACTAATTTCTATTATTTTTTCATTTTTCTTTTTCCAAGTAACTTTTATGGCCTGTGAGACCAATATGATCACTATTTTGTAAGCTTTTTCTTTTTCAATACTACACAGTAAGGGCGTAAACACTGTTGTCATTGTTTTGTTTATAAAAAATATTTACACAAACAAACGATATGAAATGCTGTTTATTACTATTTTTCTATATTTTATATGCACATATACAGTCACAGGGAATGTTTCTAGAAGTTCTGCAGCTTGTGGAAGTCTTTGAAACATGGTGTCATGCACAGTGGTGTTTTACACTCCTCACACATAAAGCGAGTGTCTCTGTGTTGTTGTGGGCGTTTCCTTGCATTTGCACAGACGTAACACCTCTTCTGAGCCTTTTTCTTGAAAGCAGTAGCAGGCAGCTTTACTAGCAAGTGATCAGCATGCTTCAGACGAGAAGGTAATTGTTGATAATTTGGTGGGCGGTCTATTGCAGGTGTTGTTCCTTGGTATTTGAATACTATTTGTCTGATGACAGACAAACAGAATTCGCCGTACTGTGGTTTGTTTCTGGTCCTCATCTCATACATATTATAAGCATTGAGCATGGAAATGTCCAGAAGATGGAAAAAGAGTTTTATGTACCACTTATAACTCTTGCGAACACAATCAGCAAACCCAATCTGCATGTCACATTTGTCCACTGAACGCACATTGAAGGTGTAATCAATCACAGCTGCAGGTTTTAGAATGGGTTCATTGCTCTCTCTATGCTGTCTGCCATTTCATTAGAGTGAACTGATGACAACAGTGTGACATCTCGTTTGTCATGCCACCGAAATGCCATGATGTCATTGGCAGCAAACGCCTGCACCTCACCTCTATGAGTGCCAGCGTTAAACCTGGGCATATGTTTCCGATTTACACACACTGTGCCACACACATCTCTCATGTTCACTCGCAAAAAATCACTGAGTGAGGGGCTTGTGTACCAGTTGTCAGTATATAATATATGCCCCTTACCAAGGTATGATTCTATCATTGTTCTAACCACATCACCAGAGATGCCCAATAACTTCCTGGTATTTTGCAATGTATAACTTCCAGTGTACACAATAATATCCAATACCAGACCACTGTAACAATCACAAAGCAAAAACAACTTTATACCAAAGCGTTTCCTCTTGCTTGGTATATACTGCTTGAAAGAGAGTCTTCCTTTGAACAGAATCAAAGACTCGTCAATTACAAGCTTCCTGAAGGGATAAAAATACATATTGAATTTCTCTTTCAGATACACAAATGCATGCCTAATCTTATATAACCTGTTGTTTCTGTCAGGCCTGGTTTTGTCTGAGAAGTGAAGCATATGTGACATTAGCACAAATCGATTCACTGGCATTATATCACTGAAACCTGGGGTTGCAATCAGGCGGTCTGTTGACCAGTATGATTTCGCTTTGTGCTTATACACATGTGGCATAAGCATTATTGTGGCAAAGAAAAGATACATCTCAGCCACAGTTGCCTCCTTCCACTGGTGTAGATGTGATTTTTGTGAAAGTATTGTGTTTGCCACGGTGTACTCATAGTTTGTGTTGCTTTCCATGACAATACTTTCCATCAGGGGTTCGTCAAAGAATAACTCGAAACATTCCAGTTCATATCCTTGTCTAAGGCCTACTTTTACTGGGAAAAAATTTCCCTCTTTCCTACATACTCTAACTTGAGCCTCACTATCCTCGTAAAAACTCTTCACTGCTTTCAGTAACCTACCTCCTACACCATACACTTGCAACATCTGCCACATTGCCCCCCTATCCACCCTGTCATACGCCTTTTCCAAATCCATAAATGCCACAAAGACCTCTTTAGCCTTATCTAAATACTGTTCACTTATATGTTTCACTGTAAACACCTGGTCCACACACCCCCTACCTTTCCTAAAGCCTCCTTGTTCATCTGCTATCCTATTCTCCGTCTTACTCTTAATTAGAATAGGATAGCAGATGAACAAGGAGGCTTTAGGAAAGGTAGGGGGTGTGTGGACCAGGTGTTTACAGTGAAACATATAAGTGAACAGTATTTAGATAAGGCTAAAGAGGTCTTTGTGGCATTTATGGATTTGGAAAAGGCGTATGACAGGGTGGATAGGGGGGCAATGTGGCAGATGTTGCAAGTGTATGGTGTAGGAGGTAGGTTACTGAAAGCAGTGAAGAGTTTTTACGAGGATAGTGAGGCTCAAGTTAGAGTATGTAGGAAAGAGGGAAATTTTTTCCCAGTAAAAGTAGGCCTTAGACAAGGATGTGTGATGTCACCGTGGTTGTTTAATATATTTATAGATGGGGTTGTAAGAGAAGTAAATGCGAGGGTCTTGGCAAGAGGTGTGGAGTTAAAAGATAAAGAATCAAAAAAAGGGGGTTTTTTGTGGTGCGAGGGGCTTTGGATTTCCAGAGGAAAACGTGAGGTTTTTTTATAGGATGAATAACAAAGTTTTTTTATTACGTGCTGTGGGTGTGCAAAGTAACTTTTTGAAATTCAAAACCGACCGGCTTTATCCGGGAAAGGGGGAATCAGGCCGCCCTTAAAAGGGGGTGTATAAAATTTGGAAAAGAAAAAAACTGAAGTTGCCCCTTCTGGGGGTATGATGTAAATTTTGGTGAAAATTTTTCTTTTTTGGCCACTGCCTTGGTGGGAATCCCGGGGTTGTAAAAAAAAAAAAAATTCCGTTCAGTGGCATTGTTCCCAAGTGTACAAGATGCCGTATTCCACTTTGGCTGTCATCAAACTGGTGGGCATTTGGAACAAAATTGACAGCTTCCTGCTAATCCCAGGTTCAGTCTGCTGGTGGGTACTGGACAATGACAGGTGGTTGTGGTTGTGGAGGTTGTGGTTGTGGAGGCTGGTGTGGTGGGTGGGTGGGGGATGGTGGCCTTTGTTGTAGATCAGCTGAGGCAGCGCGTGGGTGGCAGCATGGCCCACTGCTGGTGTCTCACGGCCTCACCACCCACTACCACCACCATGCACATTTTCCATCCCAATTGCAACACTATCATCGTCATTTTCACTGTCTGTTCCTGTTGTACAGCCATGGGATGTACTCCGAGATGTACTCCTTCCCCTTGGAATAACATATGGCACACTACCAGAGCGCATATATCATTGTATATACTGATGCTTCACTGGGGTTAGTTAGTTTAATGTCTTTATTATGCTCCCCATACCCATCCTGTGGGCGGTAGTCAAAAGATTACAAAGTACATAATGGGTCCATGGACTGGACCCCTTCACTGGGGAGTATTCCACTTCACTATCACTACTGGAACTGTTTTCAAGAGCTTGTAGTTCATAATCACTATCACTATCATCACAAATGCTCACATCTGAATCTGGGATTTGGGAAAATAGGAGTTTCCTCTTTGATTCTGGTACAACTGAATGTGAACAAGATGGCCCAGCACCAGAGGTGGAAGGCTGAGGGTCGTCTGGGTTTTCCTCACTATTACTGATATTATAGTCATTAGTTTCGGTCAAAACCTCACCAAAACCTTGAAACTCATCTTCACTGGCACTTCCATCTGTATTAGAACTGTCACTGGGGAACAAAAGTGTCCCAATTCGCCGAGGAGTGAGGAACTTCTTACCGCAAGGCATGGTGGACATTGTGTACTAAGATGGCATTCCCACAATGCACCACTGGGTCCCAGATTTTTTTTCTGCCATGCACACCGACCACACAGACCCATTCTCTCACATCTAGGCCTACCAGCCTTTTCCCGCGAGATTTGACGGTTAGAATTTATGCGTACTAGTATGTCAAAAACCCCTGCGCATAAGCCATACTAGTACGTCCGAAACCCTCGAAGGGTTAAAGATTAAAGTCATTTTGCAAAGTGGGGTGAAGTGCAAACATTTGTGGAGGAACATCACTCTAACCCTCTCCCATCCTCCCGTCTTCCATACACCAAAAGAGTCTTCAATAAAGGTAAGTGTGATGTTAAATGATCTTTTATACATTTTATTATTGCTTTATATTGATTTCTCATTCCTTTATATATGTAAATCTATATTAATCCATAAAAAAATATTTTTGGGTGTCTGGAACAGATTAATTGGATTTACATTATTTCTTATAAGAAAAATGGTTTCGTTTCTCTTTGAATTTCGACTTTTTGGTAGACTCTCTGGAACAGATTAATCACAAAAATCGAGGGTCCACCGTATCTGTAACTCTCACAATCATTAAACAATTGTTGTACATTTTAGGTTTAAATGAAACTTGTAATTTCCCCCTCAAGTAAACTTGTTAAAGTCATGTAGTCTGAACAAAATACAATATTCACTTATATTTTATTAATTGTAAATACCTAAATTTACACTGTATTTTTATTGCCTTATTAATCTTAAAAGTTTGGCCAAAATTTTCTGATATATAGTGACTTTTGTCATTCTCCTTTGTTCAAACACTATCATGCTGAAAAACATTATCATAAACACTGTACACCTGTGATAATGGTGCTGGCACTGTATATGGGTGATAGGATACTGGACACTTGTCATAATGGTGCTGACACTCTACATGATAGTGACACTGTTCACTTGTAATAATGATGCTGAGACCCGCACTTGGGTGATAATGGTTAGTGATTACTGTAACAGGTGATAATGGTTGTGACACTGTGAAGAGGTGATAATGGTGGTAACTGTCCACAGATTGATCATCTTCATGGGATGAGTGAGAGCATCAAGAGGCTGGTGGATGCTGGCCTGGTGTTTGGTGTCCAGCAAGACCAAGATGACCTCCGCTACTCCAGGATAACTTTACAAGATGGTCAACTGTATCTCCACGTTCTCCAGCACCAACCACCACCCACCCACGCCCACACTATCCAGGTACTTTATTACACTACCACTCTTACTGTACCACCACACTCTCCAGGTACTTTATTACACTACCACTCTTACTGCATCACCACACTCTCCAAGTACTTTATTAACTAACACTTAATGTACCACCACACTCACCAGTTACTTTATTACACTAACGTTCTTACTGTACCACTACACTCACCAGGTACTTTATTACACTACCATTCTTATTGTGCCACCATACTCTCCAGGTATTTTATTTCACTACCATCTTACTGTACCACACTCTCTCCAGTACTTTATTACACTACCACTCTTACTGAAACCCCCACATTCTCCAGGTACTTTATTTAGATTACCACTCTTACTGTACCACCACACTCTCCAGGTACTTATTACACACTACCACTTTTTACTTTGTACCCACCGCACCCCCTCCAAACTATTGTACCAGCACCACCCACTTAAACCTACACTCTCCACTACTGTACCAGCCCCGTACCCACCTACACCCACACTCTCCACACTATTGTACCAGCACCTACCCACCTACAACTAAAACTCTCCACTATGGTACCAGCACCCCTTTCCCCCCTACACCCACACTCTCCACACACTACCCTACCAGCATCTACCCACCTTCACCTACACTCCCACTGCTGTGGAGTCAGGAATTGCCGGGAAGAAATAAAGCCATAAATGAAATTGAAAGAAACCCAAAGTATTTCTTTTTTTATGCCAAATTAAAAATGGAGAGCCAAACATCCATATTGGCCCCTACTTAACCAAGATGGGTTCTACACAGAGACAGCAAGGAAATGGGTGAGCTACTCAAGTCCCGTATGACTCATTTTAGCACACTAACAACCGAGAATCGAGACCTAAATTTTTTAAAAGCGCAACAGAATTTGGTAAACACCAACCTATCGAGTTACCTGTGCCACAACCAACAGGCGATTACATGCCCTCACTCTGTCCCAGGCCCAGACTAATGGAATCGTCAAAGAACTGGCAAAGAAGGCCACTATAAATTGTTAAATTAAACCCCTTTCAGAGGTCCACAGGGCCCTTCAGGACTTGTTCATCAGAGCCCCCAAAGAAAAAAAAAATTTTTTTTTCTAGAAAAAGATAGGAATTTTTCCGATTTATAAACACCAAAATATGAAATTTTGATGAAACTCAGAATTATGCTCTGCGAAGTTAGTTGGTTCTTGACGTATAATTTACACAATCTAGATTTTGGCCACTTTGAGACCTATTTTTGCCAATTCAATTGTAACTATTTTAAATTAACATTTTTCTGCTCCATTTTTTTCTATTGGAGATAGTACAAGAACCCCAATTTAACGATTTCACTATCTAATACAGTGGTTTCAAAGAATTTAGGAATTTTGCATTTCACACAAACAAAAGATGCCTTCCAATAGGGTTTTGAATACAAAAAGACATTTGGCACAAAAATCATTTCTCTGTTCATTTGTCATGTCCCAGGCCCTTCTTACATTTTTTGCTTTCCACTTTGAAAATTTTTATTCTAAAAAAAAAAAATTCGATTTAATGTTATGCAACTACTGCATTAAGTGTAGAAATGGGTTAAATAACATCAGTGCACTGTGAAGAATATTAGACTCACCAGTTGACGTGTATTGGACCTAGCATATTGTTTTACTTTTGAACTTGGTAAAAATCGAAAATTTTGCACTTTGAGCCCAAATTTCAAAGGTACTTTCATTGTAAAACCAGTCAAATCATCTCAAAATTTGTAATATGCCTTCCATTTATACAATGAGGGCAGGAAAAGTAGGGAAAACAACAATAAATACCATAAAAAATTATAGTGAAAGACTGTTTAATCCAAAAACGGTCAAATTTTTTTTTCCATTACACCTGTGTGCTAAAAGGATTTTTTATACTGTGCACACTGCCACATAACCCCTTCTTTCATAGTAGGCCTACCAGCTTTCTCTCACTAGATTTGAAGCCTAGAATTTATGCGTACTAGTACCATGGACAAAGGGCATAAGCCGTACAGTACGTCCCAAAACCCTGAAAGGGTTAACATCCTGTGGAAGGGAGCATGGACACGGGTCATCCCACAGTTCTAAAAACACAGACCAGCCCCTTTCCCCAAAAGAGGCATAAAGCAATACAAAGAACTCAGATCATAGCGCTAACATCCAATATCTTTAAAATTCTTTGAAAGGTCCTAAAAGCAAGAAGCTACCCATTTAGATACCTATCAATTACAAAACCCCGAGTTTTGGCATTGCTCCTGTCGTCCCAACTTCTGGATCACTACAAAAAAAGTCCTGGTGCCCTAGAAGACAAAAAGAATGCAGAGTAATTTACCAGACTTGCAAAAGCCTTTGGGCAAATGTGACCTTGGTGTAAAAGCACACAAAAGCGTGCTAAAGGAATAACGGAAAAGTTGGTAATTGATCTAAATTTCCTGACAAATAGAAAACAAAGAGTAGTAGTCAACAGAGAAAAACTGAGGTGGCTACGTATAAGTTCTGTTCGCCAAAGCACAGTAATCGCCCCATTTTGTTCCTCATCCTCATACAGACATAGACGGGATATTAAACCACGTGCCATGTCTTCCTTTGTAAAATAAAACCTGAATCTGCAGACAGTGTCTTCCATTGCAGACACTGCAAAGGCTCCGGGTTGGAACATCGACGAAACTTTCAAAGGGCTGCAGAAAACAAATATGAATTCAAAAGATGAGAAAATTCAATTATTCCGATATGGAAAATGTGAGGAAATTAAAAACTTCATCAGAGTATTAACCCTTCCAACCCACCTATAGAGCAAAAAACTGTGTCAGAATATGGGAGTGACATGTCGAGATCCCCACTTCAAGGAACCATAACATTGTATCAATTGCAATCTACTAGAAAAAGGACAGGATGGTAATGAGAACCTTCAAAAATAGGGTGCCAAGCCAAAAGAGACACTCTTAGGTTTACTTGTTCTATCTAGGCTGGGAATATTGCTGCACACTAACAGCACCTTTCAATTACCCGAAACACTTGAAAAGTTTTGAACCGACTCCCTGGCAGGCAGGAGAGATGCATGATTATGTACACCTGGAAAATCCTAGAGGGACTAGTACAAAACTTGCACACAAAAATCACTCCCTACGAAAGCAAAAGACTCGGCAATATTTCAACAACCCCCCAATGAAAAGCAGGTGCCACTAGCATGTTAAGAGTCAACACAATAAGTGTCAGGGGCCCAAGACTGTTCAGCTGCCTCCCAGTATACATAAGGGGGATTACGAATAGACCCCTGGCTGTCTTCAAGCAGGCACTGGAAAAGCATCTTAAGTCGGTACCTGACCAGCCGGGCTGTGGTTCGTACATTGGATTGCATGCAGCCAGCAGTAACAGCCTGGGTGATCAGGCCCTGATCCACCATGAAGCTTGGTCAGAGACTGGGTCAATAGGGTATTGACCCCAGGAACTCACTCCAGGTAAACTCCAGGTTCCTTGGACAAAGTGCAGCAATAATGATGTGTTTCGTGTCAAAAAAAATAATCCAAGTGTCGTTGGATGTCCTGGGATGTTATCCAATACCAGTAATGCTTTAAATGTGATATTGCTGTCATTGCAATAGTTTTCACCAGCTGGGCAAAAATATCTTGAAAACAAGTCTTGGAAAACAGCTTTAATCACCCATGCTTTCCTAATTGACGACCAAAGAACTGGAAGCAGTCAATGGTTGTAGTCTCTCAGAGTGTGAGGATTTGGAGACTGATAAACAAGCATTAGTTTCAGTACAGGTCAGCCATCACTAATCCGGCAATCAGTAATCTGCTTCCCTCAGTAATCCGGCACTAATTTTTCTAGCATAATTTCAAATTTCATCATTATACTGACTCAAATTTCATCATTTTGCTGACTCAGAAATTGTGCAGATAGTTGTAAGTCCAGAGCAGCAAACCAGTGGAGGAGAAAGCAGTGATGAAAATGAGGAAGATTTAGCAGAAAGTCTCTCCATTGACAACTTACAGGTATTGTAGTTACCTGGCCATCGCTGTGCCACTGTGTTTTGTCATGTTTTTCACGGTCTCTCTTGCATATTAGAACTTTAAACTGTGCCAGTGAACTTATAAGATATATCCCTCCAGCACTTGGAACTAATCTAGCAGAAAATAATGTCTACTGAGTCGAAAAAGGAGAATCAGTGTACAATAGCAAACATTACCATACTCTCAGAGAGGGGAACTTGAGGCCTAGAGTGCCGGTGAAAATAATATTAGAACTTTTTTTGTCAGAGGAAAGACAGTTTCCCTGATAATAGTATGTTATACATAGTGCTATAGTGTATACCACAGTGGTACCCTAGTATTATATGGATAATAAAGGATAAGGTGAAATTTAAAACGGAAGTGTTTAGGCCAAGAGACAGGTTCATATTGTAAACAGTTGCCAGCAGTCATCAGAACCTCCCACGTAGGTCTGCTATTGTACCTGACTTATAATTAGTGGTTCCAGGGAGTAAAACATTACTGTTGAAATAGGAAGAGGTGCAAAATCTTGAGGAAATACGAAAGTATACAGTTTTGTAGAAATATGATAACAGTGTATAGTTGTTAGTACTGATTGTGATGGAGTGACATAAACAGTGTGTGGTAAACCTGTAGTTAGCAGCAGTCGCTGTATCAAACAAAATTATTATTCCTCCAGTTATCTCCATATATAGAAGCCATCGGCGCCCAAACACGCAAGTTATACTTTCTGTATCAAACTGAACGTATATTACTCTGTTTAATTTTTTTCCAGTAGTCCTTTTCACGAGCTAGTCAAATATTATTCAGTGAGCCTAATCTGGATCTGCCCAGATTCATCCAGCAACCAGATTCAAATGGATTCGTTGATAACAATGTATCCTCTGACTGGTTTCACTAACTGATGGTGCTCTACGTGCCCTATCAAACACTCAAACAAAACTACAACAAATAGTTACAAGACAGATAGACAGATTACTGTTAAGATACTTATTAGGAAAAAGATATACAGTGACCCACTAGCCAGATTCTTCCAGATTCGCTGGATTTGTGCTGATTCAAATGGTCTCTTCGAAATATAGCCAGATTTTGGCGGATTAAAATGGTTTTGTTGGAAATAAAGCCAAACCAGAAGAGCTGTACAGAAATTTAAATACAACAAATAGTTAAAATACAGATAGACAGATCTACTGTTAAGGTAATTATTAGAAAAGAGATATACAGGGACTGGATTCTTCCAGTTCGTGGATTCGGGAGAATTCAAATAGATTTCGCTGGATTCAGGCAGATTCAAACACTTTTTGTGGAAATAAAGCCGGATTTGGGTGGATTAAAATGGTTTCATTGGAAATAAAGCCAAATCAGAAGAACTGCTAAAAATAAAATAAAGGCATTGTGGAATTATAGACTAGCTAGCTAAGAAAGTTGTCCAGTATTGTAAGAGGATCACTACCATGAAGATTTGTGTGGTCTGCAGAAAGGGCAAAGGATAAAGACAGGCCTGGATTGCTTGCCATCTGTGTGGTCAGTGGTCCCATATTATATGCAGGAACTTTAACCCTTTCAGGGTCGAGAGGCCCTCTCCGAAACTTGTTCTCAGGGTTGAAAATTTTTTGGAAAAAAATTATTTCTTCTTATGAAAAGGTAGAGAATCTTTTCCCGATCATAATGACACCAAAAGTATGAAATTTGATGGAAAACTTACGGAATTATGCTCTTGCAGAGTTAGCGGTCTCGACGATGTTTACGCATCGACGATTTTGCCCACTTTGAGCAGTATTTTTGGCCAATTCCAGTGTACTAGTCGACAAAAATCATAACTATTTTGCTACAATTCCATTTTTCTATCGAATGAGTACAAGAAACCACCCATTTACCAATTTCAACTATTCAGCACAGTGGTCAGAAATTAGCAATTTTGCCAATCTCACACAAATTTCAAAAGATGCCAATTTCCAAATAGGGTCCAGAATAAACAAGAAAGACATTACTGGCACTAAAATAACATTTCCTCTGTTCATTAGTCACATCCCCAGGCTCATCATACATTTCTTTTGCCTTCCACTTTGAATTTTTATTCTCACAAAAAATAGAAGATTTACTGTTATACAGACTATTGTATTAGTGTAGTAATGGTATAAATAATATGAGCGCACTTGTGAAAGAATATTAGACTCACCAGTTGATGTGTATTGGGCGCATGGCATGATTTGTTTACTTTTGAACTTTGGCAAAAATCGAACATTTCTGCTACTTTGAGTTCAATTTCAAGGTACTTTTCTTTGTAAAACCAGTCAAAATCATCTCAATTTCTGTAATATATCTTCCATTCTATAAAATGTGACTAGGAAAACTAGAATACAATCATAAATACCATACGAAAATGCAGTGCAAAGTCACTGTTTTAATCCAAAAACATTGTCAAAGTTTTTTTTTCTCATTACACACTGTGCGCTGCAGGATTTTTTTTATACTGCGCATACTGACCACATAGACCCATTCTTTCATATTTAGGCCTTCCAGCTTTCTCTTGCTAGATTTGATGGTGCTAGAATTTAGGCGTACTAGTATATCAAAAACCCTCGTGTGTAAGCCATACTAGTATGTCAGAAACCCTGAAAGTGTTAAACTAGTGACCACATGTTACGCAAAAATGTGGGATAGCTGGGGGCTTGTGTCTGGTCTAAGGCAAAGGTAAAAGTTACTCACATCTCAAGCCCAAACAGGCCACCCAGGGCTATCCCAGTCAAAACAGAAAGCACTAAACTGGTATGTGTACTTAAAGGGGTTGGGTAACAGAGTGTTATTCAAAAATTCCCAATTAGGAAAATATACAGGAGGGCCCCACTTATACGGCAGGTTAGGTTCCAGGCTACCGCCGTAAAGCGGAAACCGCCGTAAAGTGGAACACCCTTTTTTTCCACTTATAAATGCATACAAACACTAGATAACAAGTTTACACTAACATATATTAAGTTAGCAATAGAACCAGGCATCAAAAAACAATAAAAAAGTACAATACACACATAGTGCACTCATTACTTACCTTAAAATATTTATAGTCTTAATCTAGGGTGAAACAAGTAGTATTTATTGTAAGAAATCGTGTGGTATGTATGGTAATAGCCAGGCTACCTTACCAGGCCACCCCACCCACACATACTATTCTATGATATTTAAGCATCCCAGAGCGATAAAATGTATATACAGTTCACTCATTACTTACCTTAAAATATTTGTAGTCTTAATGTAGGGTCAGGAGTAAGTAAATGAGATAAAACGAATAAATGAGAGAGAGAAAGAATGAGTACATGAGAGGGGACAGGTGCAGAGTTATGTAAACAAACCAGGCGAACGTAAGTTTTGTAAACAAACGAAGTGTACACGTCTGGTTTGTGTACAAGTTACATTGTGTACAGTTGTCTCTACATTGATACGGTAGAATTAATAAAGAAAAACACTCCCATTCTCATGTAACATCATTTTGAGAAGAAATGAAGCTCTGAGTGAAGGCAATGGAAATAAGTCACACTGATTTTTTTTGGGTTACCCTAGGTTTTTACCAAGTTGTTATGTATATAACAAGTAACGGTTTTTGTGTAACCGAATAATTTACTTAATACAACGAAAGGAAAAATTTTCTAAGTTTCCCCCCCCGTAACACATTTTCTTTTGATTAGATTAGAGAAAATTTTTCTTGGGGCCCGTCCTTGAAATTTATGGGGGCCTCCCACATCTTTATTTATTTTATTTTTCATTGTGGGTGTATTTATCATCTTTTTATTTTTATGTATCGTTTTTATTATATTTTTTAAAAAAAATTCATGGATTAAAAAAAGGTATATTAACGAATATCCATTTTAATGAGACTGGGTGAGTATTGTTTTATTTTTCATTTCTAATAGGCTCTCTTGTGGTCGTCTGCTACCAATCTCACATTTATTTTATTTATTTATTTGTGGGGTGTATTTATTTATTTATTGTTATGCATGTGTTTTTAATAATTTTGAAAAAAATACAGGATGATTAATAAAATGTGATATTAACAATATACGACTTTAAAAATGACTCGATGATTATTTTTATCTTATAAATGCGTCTGGAGACAAAAAGACATTTACCAATTTTAATTGTCTGCATCCAGCACAGTATGTAATTTTATTTGGGTACTTTGTATCAATGCATCTGCTAAAAAATTTGACAGGATGGTAATGGAACCTTAAAAAACAGGGGGGCCAACCCCATGTGACCTCTTGGGGTCACTTGTTCTATTGGGGCGGTATTGTGCACACAAACAGCCCTTTAAAGGGCATGAAATTGCCGACCTAAAAAATTACAGAGAATTTCACGGCGGCATAACAGAGATAAAACACCTCAATTTTTGGGGACGCTTGAGTCCTAAACCTGTTTTCCCCCGGGAACGCAGGGGGAGAGTACATGATTATATACCCCGGGAAAATCCTGGGGGCTATACCGAACTTGCACACGAAAATCACCCTCGAAAGAAAAAGACTTGGCAGACGATGCCCACCCCCCCAATAAAAAGCAGGGGCACTAGCACTTTAAGAGACCATCAATAAGTGTAGGGGCCCGAGACTGTTCAACTGCCTCCCGCACACATAAGGGGATCCCAACAGACCCCTGCATTTCAAGCTGGCAGGGGACAAGCACCTAAAGCAGTTCCGGATCACCGGGCTGGGGCTCGTACTTTTGGTTTGCGGCCCACCCCCCCAGAAAAACACCGGTTATCACTCTGATCCATAGGAGGCCGGCAAGCCCGGGCCGCGGGGCGTTGCCCCCCGGAACCTCTCCAGGTAAACTCCGGGTACGGGTAACATAAGTATAATTATCAGAGTATATTAAAATATGAAAAAAATTTTTAAAAAATTTGAATTTTTGGGTTTCCAACAAAATGGAGAGACTTAGTCTTACTGAGCTCAGGAGAATGTAAACAAACAGGGTGGGGCAGGGTGACCGTATTAAAAAAGAAGGGGTGGGAGCCGTATAGCGATTTTTGGTCATAATTAAAATGTCTGTATTAGCGGAACCCCGTAAAGTGAAACACCGTAAACGGGCCTTCCTGTATCTTTTTACCACCATAACAAAACATAAAAAAAACCCTTAGCCTAAACACCAAATGGGGAACACAACAACCACGGCTGGAGTCCACCACCAAACCACTATGCCTCATCAGCGTCCCCCACTCTACTTCACACCTCATTTCTTTTTTCCCTCATCCTCCCCAACCCGCCCATGTCAGAGCCTGGGGGGCAAAAGGGAAGCCATAGAGAGCCTAGGCTTGAGGGAAAAAAATGAGTGCAAAACTACAAATTTATCATAAATCACACATTTTCCCGCGCCGCCTCTCCAAACCAGCTAATCCTGATCCCCCAAACCACGCTTATCCGCGTCCCAAACACCCGGGGGAAAAAATCTTTACAAATTTCTTTATTTTTTCATTTAGAGTACTTTACAGAAACCCCCCAAAGCACATTACAATTAAAAAATTTATTTTTTACAACTATA